AAGAGAGGAGCTTCATTGAATTGTGTGAATAAAATTTGTATAAAGAAACAGAAAAAAAAAGATCAACACGAACTCCATTTTTCATAACTATATCATTAAAATAAAGAACAAAAAAAATCCTATTAAGTATGCATCAGAGAAAAAAATAAAGAAAAACGCGTTTCGGGAAGCCCAAAAAAAGAAGCAGCATTCGTTATCTAAACTGTAAGAAATTATTATTCTGTAAGCTCTGAAAGAAAGGAAAACCAGAATTTCTAGGTCTAAATGCTAATTAATAAGTCCTTAAATTTAATTTAAACGAAAACTACTAACTCGATTCATCGACAAAAGTAATCCAGAGAAAAAAAAGGCAACGTCATTGAAAAAAAAAACCTTCAACACTATTTGATTTTGAATGATCATATGTATTATGTAATGTAGGCTTAAAAACAACCATTAACTTAATTTAATTATAAAACAAACAAAAAATGTGTATAAATCTAGAAGACGCTGAATGATTCCTAATAACGATTACTTTTCCATTTGTGTAATGACAGTTACAATAAAATAGGTTGGAAATTTATCTTCCTCTACATTTTAGGAACCGCAACAACTGCAACGACGCCATCTGTTTTATCGTTTATTTTTTGTTTTGTATGGTTATTTTAAACGTAGTTATTTCCTATTATAGCTTGTATAGGTATGCAACCATCCAATTAGGGTTTCCATTACCTATTCCTAATTATTATCCACACAATGTTTTGTAAAGCATTTAATTTAGCAAAAAGATAAAAAAAAAACAGCCGCAGGAAAATCCAGCAGAACGCAGCGCAAAACCGAATAATTTATTTGTAAAGTAGATAAATTGATGCATTATTTGTTTTCAACTTATAGAACGTAAATCACACTTCGTTTCTCTCTCTCGAGATAGAAAAAAAAAATCGGGGAAGGAAAGGAAATAGAAAATGGTTTCTTCCTGAAAATAAACCTAAATACATATATATTTTCCGAAAAGCAATTAAAGTCTTCAGTATAAAACACACACACAAAACCGAAATGGTTTATTTTTTGTGCATTGTGCATAACACACACAAGAACAAAAAAAAACCACAAGTGATTAATTGTACCACACATACACACACACAAGTACGGGCGACTGATTGTGCAGAAGAAGCACAATTGAGTTGTTCCGGGCTAGTGTTGGTCACCAGAAATAGAATGCGAATGATTGGGGAGTAAGAGGTAGAAATGAAGAGTAAAGAAAATTAGCTATCCATTTGTATAAAAAGAAACACACAAAAACAGAAGATTGTATAAGCGAAAATGTACTCTTTTTTGAAATATGGAGAAAGAAGAAAAGATATCAAAAATAAAACGATATAACGTTTAATAAAAATTATAAAACGATGCATTAGCCTCAAAGTCTCACAACGATCCGAAAAACTCCTGGAAGTATTATCGTAAGGGAGCACGCAAAAATAACGTAGCACATTTTTGACCAATTTAAATTTCAGATCTCGTGGTGTATTTTGGTACACTGCCATGGAAATCAACATAAATTTGAGTTCAGTTTATTCATAAATGGAACTCAGCGATGGGTAATTTGCCTCATGTTCAAATTTTCCTCATTTTCCGGCAGATTTTTTAGGTTTTCCACAGGAAAGCATAAGGCAATTTACTCATCGCTGAGTTCCTGCAATTTTGGCGATTATAAGTAAACTGAACTCAAATTTGGGTTAATCTCACTGGCCGTGTGTACCTAATATGTATCGATAATGGTGGTAAGCTCCAACCTGTATTATCCTCGGATTAAATCCCGATCAAGAATAACAGGCTGCTTTAATGTCGACATCAGAGTTAATTAATACAACTCTAAGCAAACACTTTGCAGATCATCCAAACAGGGACGGTATTAAAAGTTAATCCGAGTTGGAGCTTACCACCATAAGAGTACGAAAAATGCTGTTAACCCTCTCGTTTCCATACTATTACCAACAATCAATACGAAACTATCGATTTTAAATTGGCTCACTACTTGACTAGCCTATTGGTCCCAAGCAAACGATTAACGTACCCCATTCTAGTATAAATTCCAGTACTACACTATGTTTGTTTTGATTCGCTATGAAAAATTGACAGATAAAATGAAGGGTTCGTGGATTTCCTATGTTTCGAGGGGTGCATCGATTAGCTTGGGACCGAAGATAGTACCAGAGCTGAGCCAAAAGTTGAGCTCGTTTCTTCGGGACCTTCTGGTCTTAGAGTTTCCTCTATGGTATTAGCACCGACAAACCGACATGAATGATCATACAAAGTAACATCAAATTTCTGATCAAAGCACAAAACTGACATCTGCCGCCGTGTTCGCGAAAAATGTGTATCCTAGCCACGAACACACATACTAAATGTATGAGTTGGTTCGTGCCTAATCTATTCCGGGCAAATTATTTGTATCTAGATAACAAATTTCTATGGTTTTGACAGATGGGATCGCTGCACATTTGAATCCACCGTATTCTCGATCAAGAGCTAAGTTTTAGTTTCATGTCGGTTTGTCGGTGGTATTAGATTAGCCTTTTCCATTTCCCCAAGCGTTGAAAGACAGATGGTCAACACACGGGCCCCGTAATCTCATTGTTCTTGTGGTTTTTTGCGTGAGAAGAATGGATGTCAACCACTGTACCGGGACCATCTCCAAAAGAGTATTTACTTTCTGCTAGAATTATCTTCTCCTTAATAAAATTTGTATGGTTATTTTGTTTAACGACGTGTTTGGGATATCATCCAAACCATTTGTGGAAAAAATCGACTATGTGAGTTATCGTTCGTTTATGCGGTATTTTTTTATTAGAGCTGTCTTCCTTCAAAAGTTGTTTTTCAGATCAGCCTTGATTAAAGCCCTTTAGTTAAAGTATGGACGACTGTTATCACATTTTGAATTTTTCTCAGGCACTTTTGATCCAACTGCAATTATTACTCTCTCATACCCGAAATGTGCCACGACCAAATTGGCACAACGACGCCCTATAGAGTTAGTATTCAAGAGCAAATTTTCATTACGTCGAATGTAACAAAGGTAAACAAAGTCGAGCTATCAGTGTCAATCGATTCTCCTGCTATTACACTATATACTGTCCGAATATAGGATCAAATCCCATTTTTAAATTTATTTACCAGTCAAATTGGTTTTTGACGTAATCACCTTCCGATCAAAATAGTTTTCGATGTTACTTAAGTCACCCAATTTCTATGGAGATGCCGTTTGACTGAAGTAACAGTGCTGAGAAACCCGTGAAAAGTGTACGTTCGTCGTTTCGCTTTCTCATTATTAAAGTGAATAAATCGAACTGTTTGTTGCTAAGATGATTTCGGTGGTCCTAAAATTATGAATGGGCTGCACGTAAGGAGACGGAATTGATAATTCTCCCGAATATCCACTTTGACTTTAGTAACAATAGGGGTAACCAAACGTCGTATAATAACTTTTGACTCAAAAACCAGTATTTTTTAGCATGAAAGCTAGCGATTTGCATTTGTATGATTTAAACCCTGCTAAATATGTTAAACATTGCTATCACTATGAGATTATATGTGTTTACTTGGAAATAGGAATAACTTTTCGGTCATCAAAACAAAACTATATTTTTCTCGGATTGGTGCGAATGTTACTTACGACATAATGAAAATTTGCTCTTGTATTAGTGAGCAGTTTCACTAATACTAGAATTTTACTGGTTGAAAATAAAAAACAAACCGCTGTCAAGTCGAACACTTTGACAGCTGATTTCGTGGTTGAAAATAATAAACAAATCGATTTTACACGGCTACACTATAGACGAGTGCACGGATGGATTTGAGTTCACTCACTCGACAAAAAGTGACACAACAGCGGGGCCCTGTTTACTAAAAATGAACACATATGTGTTCGGTCACATATGAACACATATGTGTTCGGTCACATATGAACACATATGTGTTCATTATTAGTAAACAGGGCCCCGCTGTTGTGTCACTTTTTGTCGAGTGAGTGAACTCAAATCCATCCGTGCACTCGTCTATATACCCCGTTCACATTACAGCCTATATCACGTAATATAGGCTGTCTTGCAATGAACACGCATACAAAGGATTTCCAGTGAAAACTAGATGTATGAGTGCTCATTGCAAGACAGTGTATATCACGTGATATACGTTGTAATGTGAACGGGTTATATGCTGGGGGGGGGGATGTGCTGTCAAATCAGCCTACTGATCATCTTGTATGAAACTGGTTCCAAACGTAAACGAACGCTGTAGGTTTCTTATGGCTTGTTTAAGTTTGGAACCAGTTATGCGAGGTAGGCGACGATTGTTCGTATTTGACAGCCACCTCCCCCCCTTGGTTATATGTTGTTAATACGCTCTCCGATGCGCAGGGTTGCAATGTCATGGGTAACAGGTCTGGCAAAAATAATGCATTATCTCTTTCAATCTACCGCTGTTCTTACGCAACGATGAGTGTGACGTCAAATAAATATCGCGATAAATATGAACAGTGGAAGAATTACAATTAATGGATTACCGAGGTAAAACAATCGGTTAAGTTGTGTGAGTGAAACCACTGTACGATCAAGCAATTAGTGCCGTCACTAATTAACCACTTTATTCGAGTACTTAAAATGACGTTTACTACCACTCGAACTTTAAAAAAATAAAACATTATTTTGAGATTTTTTCTTGTAGAACCTCGAGAAAAGTAGCCAACATTTGTGAGTTTCATAGAAAAATATAAATTATTTGGTCCAGTTTTGTGAAATCACTGGTAGAAAGTCACGCCAAAACTGCTTGACAAAGTGGTCATTGTCGCATACTTCACAATCTGCCTCACCTCTCTTTGTACATCATTGGGAGAATTAAAGAGTCGGCAAATTCACACTGCCGGACCTGTTCTCCATGACGTTGATTGATTTGTGCCGCTTGAAAGAAACCAATTCCACGACGTCAAATCAAACGCCAAGCTAGATTCAGCTTCTATAGTTCAGTGATAAGGACATTCTCAGCAGCGCAATACGTAGCCAGGCTATCGAGTAGTTAGATAGCCGAATACATCTCTTCCTATCCTGACATTCTGTGCGGAGAAGACCTATTGTCCAATACTTATAGACTTGCTGCGGTGTTAAACGATTGTATTCAAATTTAGTGTAATAAGTTAACTGTTATTTATGTTAGTTGTATTTATTTGTCGGTGAAGTTACGATCCGGTGTCGCTTGAGTGATTTTTTTTCACGTATGATTGCTGATAAGTGCAAATTTTTCTTTTGATTGCCTCCATATACATTAACATTACCCATACCAAGTCCCAAGTGGAGTCATTAAATATTGTTGCCATTGTATTGCAAGCTGCATTCGTGCGATAAAACAATGCCACAAGTTTCAATTCGCCGTGCAGATATGGTCTTATAATCAGCGAGAAAAAACGATTAGTTTGCAGATTACCCGCCTTGCTTTACTGCTGCCAAGAATTTATTATACCGTCATAATCAAATCTAGTCCCGATAAGCTACAGCAAAACGCCCCAACATGTACCAAAAACGCTTCTTGCGAATTGTCTACCTGCTCCTATTCGTAGTAGTAGTGATACTACTCTACAAGAGCTTCACTAATGCTCCGGAATCGAATCAATTACAGGTAAATCCGTCTTCCCAATAATGATGTATCGGTCCGAGTGGTTTAATTATGCATGGATTTGTTGTCTTTTTTTAGGATGATTCCTTAGCTCGCCCAGCTGACGCGGCAGTCTACGTGATGGTCTTCTACGAAGCACTTTGTCCGGATTCGAAAAATTTCATCATCAAACAGCTTGAGCCAACCTTTGCCCGGGCACCCCATTTGATTGACATTCAATTTGTTCCGTACGGAAAGGCATCGGTGAGTGTTGTATTAGGTATCTATACTATAAAGTGGGGCTGGGCTGTTCATAAGCTACGTAGATAGTTTTTGAAAGGTTTTTGATTTTTGTAAATTTGTATGGACCGTAGACACTTGCCAGCCCTCTAAAGTGTCTACGTGGCTTATGAACAGCCCCTAGGTAGACATATTCGACTCGATATATTCAGGAAAATTAGTTTACTCCTTTGTTTGGTCATGCAAATAGGACGCTCTCTGAGAAGTCCGTTTTGTTGATACCAATGTTCGTTTTGCACAGCACTGTTCAACGTGCGGATCTCAGTAGTGATCATTCTAGTCCAATATTGTTGATCATTATAAATTTTAGCCAGAATTCATGAGAAACAAACAAAATGCAGCCTGAAACATGTTCATCGAGCATATTGATATACGGTAGGTAATTGAAAAAAAAACAAGTTTAGAAAGGTTGATGAACAAGGCTGGTTTAGCAGGTCATAGTTTGATGTTTGTTGCTATGAAAAACGTAAAACGTCGATTCGAAAGTAAAAATGTTTCAATGCAAATGCAGGCCGTGGATTCGGTTCTCGATCCTATTAAGGAGTTTTTCGGGTTGGAAACATTCTCGACTTGTCTGGACATTAGAGTGTGTTTGTCACATTTATGCCGCAGATACACTTGGATGGCCAACTATGAGCATGAGCATAATAAATTATGAGCACATCGATGTATAGTTTTTGGATTTGCTCATAATTTATTATGCGTGTAATTGGGTAATGCTTCGAAGAACACTAGTAAGTAGGTAAATACAGTGAATGCGTTTTACCCTGGAGAAGTTGGTTCTAAAATCATGAAATTCATTTTTTAAATTCACGTATTAATAATCTAATAATCGGTGAATGTATGGGTAACTAATGATGATGATGATTGAAGGATGTTAAAAATTTACTTATTCTTTGTTGAACCTTAATAGCTTACAAACCATGTAATGCGTACTAATATGTCTCGAAATCAATTTTAACAGCATTGTTTTGGATGTTTTATATTTTATCCACAATCTTATGATAATAACCTAGTGGAAACATATGCTCAATATATTTATGAAAAGAAATTTTACTAACGATGTGAACTTGATTTTGTACTAAAGTGAGCGGTGAATGGGCGCACATGTTAATGGTATACATGTTAAAAACATTAAAATTTTAAATTGAGCGTTCTTACGATAGCAGAAGTTAACACAGCTTAAGCCACGTCTTAAAGTTGCGCCTAAATTCAGGGTGGCCATTGAACCGGAAATTACCCGGGAATTGAAAACAACCGGGAATTTGATTGGAACCTTAAAATAATTAATGGAATTCTATTAATATATATTCTAATTCTGATATCTCATATATTTCTTCTAGCGCGGGCATTTAAACTTGTCCATAGGTAGTACAGAATATCAAAAATTAGGTCTGAGAACTAAAAAAAAACAATGTATTTGACAAAAGTATATTTAAGGTTTAACTCAGGAAACAATAAGAAAGTCAAATATGGTAATAATGATCTGTCATAGAAAGTCCTAGCACAGTGTAATCTCTTCAAAACTACCTTTAGTTGGTCTTACTATTTTCTTGAAATGCTGAAATGCAATCACCCATATTCTTGTTTTCGTTCGAACCGTGTTTTCCATACAAAAACACTTGGAACATGGGTGAATGCTTCAAAGTGTTAGAAGCCTAAAATTTTGTACATATCCAAGAGCCATGGTTTTTTTTTTATAAAATTTCGTATGGTTCGAAACAAAATAATTGATCATCAATCATTGCAATGGTGATATTGAACCTGCCACCAATTAATTTGTATCGAACAATTAGAGGTTTGGGATTGGAGTGCAGGATGCTCATTATGCCCCACCTGTTCACTATGCTCCTCTTGATGATGATGATGATAATTGTCTACCACTCATTGTAGCACGGAAACTAGGTCCGATAGCAGCGGGCGCTCCTCACTGTTTGATTTGATCAAGCTTAATTACCTCTGATAGTCCTCAACATGTCACTGTATGAAGGGCCAAAAATGGTTTTGGTGTATCGATAGGTAAATTCACCTATACTGCCTATAACCCCATATCAGTCCCATATGGAAAAAGTAGGCATTGAGAAAATGGCAGCTGAAGTTAAGAAGTGCAATTTCCATGTAAATATTAAAACAATCATAGTAAATTAATCGACAATTTTGTCAAGTTAAAATCAGTTGCAATGAAGCTTGCATGTATTGTTATATTAACGAAAAATATGGCGATTCAAAAAACAGAAATGTGGCTAGACCTCTGGATGATTGAATTTCAGGATGGGACTGATATGCGACTACTTTGCTTGATGGGACAAACTTGATGTTGTTTTCACATTTTCCATAATCAAAGTCCGTAGTTATATCACGTAATATGAAAGTAGATGCCAATTGATAGTGGATAAAGTTATTATCTTAAAATTGAAGAAAATCCATATGGGACTGATATGCGATTATAGGCAGTATAATACGCCTCCACGGGATGATAGAGAATCTCCTTCCAGCCAAATGATCAAACAATCGGTCAAAAAACGAGTCGTCCGACAGAAGGATACCCCAATGAGTGTGGAGAAGAGCCATCTCTTTTTCCACGAGATGTTAACAACAGGGAGTTGACAATTTCACTCTCCCCATCCAAATCGCTTCTATCAGGTGCCCTGCTGGTCCTTCCCAATCATTGTTTTGTGTATATGAGCAATATTGAAAATTCAAAATTTAAAACGATCTCTTTAGCTGTTTCTTCACTATTCTATCCAATTTTCGTGCCTATTTGTGAGCTCGTTTTGTCCTTTTCTGCATCACTGCTAGTCGCTACTAGTCTCCCATGTTATTTCTGATGTGTTCTACGACATTTTGACGTCCAGTATCTTTGTATGATGATCTTAAGTTCCTAGTTGTGTCTAATTTATTTATTTATTTATTTATTTTATTTATTTATTCATCTGACTGACTTTTTGTCGTCTTAATGAATGTGATGGGGAAAAGACAATTTAAATGGCGTAAAAACCCCATATCTTTTCACAATACAGTACAAACATTACAAAACAAGCACATCTGTGAACATAACATAAAGTGGACATGGCTTCAAATATCAACTGTAGTCAAAAACATAAAAAAATTATAATTCTATCAGCTCCATTGGACATCCATCATCCGAAGCAATCCTCGTCGGCAGTGGTGAATCGAGAAAAAAAAATGTTACAAGTAGCATAATCGTTACAATTTAGGAGCAATGGAATATTACTCACTTTTCACAATAACGAATCTCACTCGATCCATTAATGCGATTCAGTCCGTCTACGCTTAAATGTTGCCACAGTAGAGTTGAAGTCGAGGAGGATGTAGACTTCGTTGAACCTAGTCGACATAAAGCGGACAGGATCATGAAGACCGTACAAGGAGTTGCGGGGCTCAAGCAGCAAAAAGTTCCGTTGGCGAAGTAATCGTTCAGGAACGTAAAGGTTAAGTTGACCTAGTAACTCCGGCGCGTCAGTTTCTCCTGTGATCATGTATATTTTGACGTTATCAGCGTAAAATACACGGCAGCCAGATGGTAGTACGAGAGAAAGCTCGTTGATGAAGAGTGAGAATAACAAAGGACCCAGGTTGCTACCCTGTGGTACGCCAGATAAGTTTGAAAATTGTTCCGAAGATTCAAATCCGATATTAACGGTGAGGCTACGATCCGTAAGGTGTGATCCAAACTAGCTAACAAGATCCGCAGAGACACCAATTCTTCCTAGACGTTTCAGTAATATTCCGTGGTCAACTCTATCGAAAGCTGATTTCAAATCAGTGTATGCGGTGTCGATCTGAGCACCAGCATCAATGTTGCGTGTGCAAAACGAAGTAAACTGGACGAGATTGGTAGATGTTGATCTGATCAGTAGAAATATAATTCTTGCAGGAGTCGAAAAGTACATAATTTATTATGATTTCGAAAACCTTCGAACAACCACACAACGAAGTTATTCATCTGTAATTCTCGATGTTCTGTCGATCCCCCTTTTTAAACACGGGGAACATGACCGAGAGAGAGGTTTGAGTCGTCGTAAATGTATATTTCCCCAAGGTGGTTTCGAAGATGGCCTGCGCAGTGGAACAAAATCAACCTAAAGGGTGATACGGTCAAAACTTGGTCAATATCAACTTGACGTATTTCTTTCAATTTTGCATTTAAAAAACCTGAACACCCCTCATTTTGAAGGTGTGTGTGTGTAGAATGTTGCTCCTATTTTGATTTTGGAATTCACTCTTCAGTTGTCAAAATGCCGTCCAAGCAAGAAGAGCAGCGTATCAAAATTTTGCTCGCGCATCGCGAAAATCCGAGCTACTCGCACGCAAAGTTGGCAAAATCGCTAAAAGTTGCCAAATCAACCGTTACAAATGTAATTAAAGTGTTTGGGGAACGTTTGTCGACAGCCAGGAAGTCTGGATCGGGGGAAAATCGAAAACCGGAAGCCGCTGAGATGACAAAGAGAGTTGCCGGTAGTTTCAAGCGAAAACCCTAACCTCTCTCTCCGAGATGCCGCAAATAAGCTGGGTGTATCGTCTACAACCGTGCATCGAGCCAAAAAACGAGCCGGACTATCGACTTACAAGAAGGTAGTGACTCCAAATCGCGATGATAAACAAAATACGACGGCCAAAGCGCGATCCCGGAGGCTGTACACGACGATGCTGACGAAGTTTGACTGCGTGGTAATGGACGACGAAACCTACGTCAAAGCCGACTACAAGCAGCTTCCGGGACAGGAGTTTTATACGGCAAAAGGAAGGGGAAAGGTAGCAGATGTTTTCAAGCACATGAAACTGTCAAAGTTCGCAAAGAAATATCTGGTTTGGCAAGCCATCTGTACCTGTGGCTTGAAAAGCAGCATTTTCATAGCTTCCGGGACTGTCAACCAAGAAATTTACGTGAAAGAGTGTTTGAATAAACGTCTGCTGTCTTTCCTGAAGAAACACGGTTGTTCCGTACTGTTTTGGCCGGATTTGGCATCTTGCCATTACGGTAAAAAGGCCATGGAGTGGTACGCCGCCAACAACGTGCAGGTGGTTTCCAAGGACAAGAACCCTCCCAACACGCCAGAGCTCCGCCCAATTGAGAAATACTGGGCTATTGTCAAGCGGAACCTAAAGAAGACCAAAAAAACTGCTAAGGGCGAGCAGCAGTTCAAGGCAAACTGGCTTTCTGCGGCGAAGAAGGTGGACAAGGTGGCTGTACAAAATCTGATGGCAGGGGTCAAGCGTAAGGCCCGGCAATTCGGATTTGGAAAAGCGGAAGCCTAACTGAATATTTTTCCTGAATTTTATACTAATTGAACTTGAAAAAGAAATTTAATTTGATTTTTTAAATAAACGATTTCACCGATTTACACGCGTTTTCCCTTGACCAAATTTTGACCGTATCACCCTTTAGTAACTCTTCAACACACTGGTGAAGTACTCTACAGCAATGTCAATATCTTCAGCGGATTCAAGGATGTGCCAGTCAGTTTGGCGAAGCGCTTCAAGTAATCCTCCAAAATCAGCGCGGTGAAAGTCAAGTCCAGGTTCGTCCGGGAAACTCTCAAATTCAGTAGGCTGTGCGAGACTAATAGTTACTTCAAAAGCGGGATGATCGGCATCAAGAAAAGAGAGTGGTTCTACAGCTGCTTCAATCTGGCATCGAGAGAGCGTTGCTTCATTCACCAAAGCGAAATCCAAGATTCGCATGTTCTGATTAGTAATATAGGGGAAATGACGGCTTCGGCATGCCAGACTATTTTCGGCAACACAAATTGAGACACTATTTTCACTGGATTTTCTTACAAAAACACTTCGCTGAATGCATGCAAACGATTCTTTATGCTTTCAGCTTCAATTTGACTATACTTTTACCACTGAGAAAAAGCAATCTAGCAAGGTTTTCTTGAAATGCAACACACGCACTACAAATTGTAGCTGATTTCAGGTTGCCGATAATAGAACAGCAGATTTACATGCAGTTCAAATGGAACGGTTGCCGAAGAAAAGCTGGTTGCCGACAATACTCGCTCTCACTAGAGAAGATTGGAGCTTTGTTAAAGTGTTTCAAAACAGTTTTTGACAATTCTTTCGACTGAAATTGTTAGAGCAGCTGGCAGCAAAAGATTGTAAACAAACCAATACTGCATATGTGTGCGTTCCTTAGAGAAAAAGGCTATAGAAAGAAGGTCGCTGCTTAGGTTGCCGAGAATACGTAAATTCCCCTAGTTAACTTGATACAGACCATGCAGATTGAAGCCATCGAGTAACGAGGCGCAAGCAACAGAGATGTGAGATTGCAATGCATCTACGGAAGGGCGATCGTTGCTTGGTGTGTTCCAGACAAGTCCCGATTGATTATAATCGCCAAGAAGAATAGCATGATCGTTATTCCCAAGGTGTGAATGTATCGCTTCGATAGACTCGATATGGTTATTCACGCTAAGTAAATCATTCTTGCGGTCAGATGGAAGGTAAATTACACCAATACTAACTGAACATTGATGCAGTTTCAACTTAACCCAAAGCTGTTCTAGAGATACATTTACCGGAGTGGGATCAATGTACCCGTTGAAATTAGTTGAAATAGCGATCAACACTCCACTGCCAAGTGAACTGTAACATCAATGCGGAAAATGGACAGTGTCTCCGGGAATTTTCTTAACGAGTAGGGAAACTAGGGGCAAGAAGGTCACCCAGGGCAAGTGTGCCACCCTCAATATATTTTGAAAATGAAATCATTTCAATCCTATCTCACGATAAACCTATGCACGGTATTCCTATGAAGCATTCTAAAAGGCATCGCATGTGCTACATTTTGCAGCTCTTCTTTCACTTTTACTTTGTTAACTCCATGGTACCGGAAAAGATATAGATATACAGATTATTAGCAATGATGTGATATAACCACAACGGGATGGCCGTTCAGAATGGTTCAACGGATTTGAAATGAGGGAACATTTAAATTTAACACGATTTAAAGTATTTCAATGCAACATTACATAATGTAGCATAATCCCAAAAAGCCGCTCAGGTCCATTGGTGATGCTGACATTCCAAGAACCGAGTACCAATTCGGGGTTTTTTTTTGTAGTGATCACAGTGGTAGCATACACTTGCTTAAACTCTACACTGGACCCCTTTTATTGATAAATTTTGCTTCTATGAGCATGTATTTTAAATCAACACACAGACGTTCTCTCTGGCTGAAAATCTCCTTAATAAAGACTACCAACCAACCAACCAACGAACCACAGACGTTCTTAGGCTATGGTACCCGCTTGGTCACTGTTGTTTTTGTGTTGATCCAAATAGTTTTGATAATATAATTGCGCAGTCTTGTTTTTTTTTTAAAGGTTGATTTTTGTCCCAGTCTTGTCTTCTGTCGTCACTTATTTTGTCATTTTGTCTTGTGTATTAACCCCCACTTGTCTTGTGTAATGTGTCAACTTGTGTCTATTGTCCTTCCCCGTCTGTTTTAAACTCGTTCTGTTACTCTGTAATGACTAATTTCATTGATATATAACAATAGAAATAACAAATAATAGGATAATATGGTTATTTCTCGATTACTTTTTCAAAGGGACGCACCAGCTCCTGCAAACAATGCATCCGATCGTCGATCCGGCGCAACCGGCAGCTCGCACACGTTTACCAAACACCACTAGCAGGTAGAGGAAAATTTCCCCTATATGATGATAGTGCTAGCATGCGTGGGCGAGTCTCCAGTTACGCCAAATCGACGATCAAACGCACCGCCTACAAAAACCGATACGTTTCTTTGAAAAAGTTATCGATATTTCTACTAATTAATGAATTATTGACGATTACCGCTCATGATCCTTGGCTTCACTATGATTTTAACTCCCCACTTTTTGATTATTTATCAAATACCTCTCCGAGTATATAACGCCCCGATGCCTTGTTGGTTTATTGTCTCATTTGGATTGGTCCTGAATTTGTTTGATATCCTGTTCGAAGTAATTCTATTCCTTCTCCTTAGTCCATTGAAATCACGTTATTTCTTTGAGTTCCCCATATGATTCGCCATTCATAAAGATAATGGGTTAAAAGGGAGTAAAGCATACATAAAGGTAGATTAGTATTAGTTGTACTTGATCCAAACAATAGAAAGAAGCATAGATCTAGATAGAACTGGAATTAGGGCGTAACAGCTTTTGTAAACAATAACTTTGATTTCGATAACGATAACGATGATTTCTAGAAAGTTAAGGCTCGCCAACGCAAATCAACAATACCATCTGGTAGAGGAAGAGTTCCCCTACCTGACGGTTGTGTTGGTTTGCGTGGGCGTACCTTGAGTTCCTAGAATTCCATAAAAGTCATTGTTTACAGTAGTTGTAACGCCCTAATTCCAGCTCTATCTAGATATAAATTAGTTGGAAAATAAAACTAATATATAACTAAAAGTGCAATGGATGAGTGTTAGTTCCAGGATCATTTTAGTGTTAAGAGTTATGTTAGTTTTGATCCGTATTCAGCCCTGCTGGCCCCTCTAGCACTATTTGCAGAAATTGTGATTAGATTATGCGACACTGCTACTACTACTATGTTAGATATGACTTGTGAATACTGTTTTCTAACGCAACGCAATGTTTCAATGAAGGTGTCTTTAAATAAATCACTCAATCAATTTGATTTTTGAAAGTTGGTTCAAAAGGGTTTAGTTGACACATCATACCTTACCGAAAACTAAAGCACAACAATTTTAATTCTTATTTCAAACCTATCAACATATTTAACACACCTTTCCTAAAACATCACTTATTCGCAAGCGCTTGATTGAAGATATGACTGCTATTGACATTGCCTGTAATTAACAAATATACTAAATAGAAAGATTTATTATACAACTCTAAAAGCTAGTTGTCTCCCTAAGCGGACCCCCCGCGTCCTATCACTTATGTTAATTAACTTTTTAATTCTCTAATTGAAGTTCATTTAATGATTATTTAGTCTTATTTAGTAAATAACTGAAATCTCTAATCTACCTACACAATCATAACCCATGCTTTTAAACTAAAATTTAACGTGTTTCAAGTACTTCTGGCTTTGACATATATTAATTATATCTTTGTTCGTCCCAGGTGACACCTTCAAGTGACCAAAATGCTTCACTTTATAGTTAGTTTCCAAGCTAATTTTAAATTGTATATTGTATAGGGTAAATGTTCCAATTGGGCACTTTCTGAAATATTTCAATAGTACAATTCCCTTGCAAACCCAAATAAATCTACCGGCGTAAAAAAAATAAGAGTGATTTGCGGCAAAACCCGCCAGTATCGCACCCAACGTCAGTGCCTATACGTAAGCGTACTACAACGCGGCTCTCAAACAATGGAGTAACAAGTGTGATACTATCACTGCTAGACTAGATCTTTGGTTCTCTCATGCAGTGGTTCATCAGAGAGGGGAAGCTTAGTAATCCCCATTGCCTGCCCATGGCTCCATTCTATTGCGGCATGAGCCAGCAACGCCGGCCATAAACCCACCGTCTCCAACACTCCACTAAAAAGCATGAAATTAAGCCCGCCCACCAGCCACAAGGTGCAAAAACTAACCAATGGGAGGGAAGAACCGAGTACCAATTCGAGTTAAATTGTTATCTACTTTCGTGTTCCAGTTCTTTACACCAAAAAAAGCCGATCATCGTTCACATCTAATATACTACGTTCTCTCTTTTCGCAGACTAGCACCAAATCGGACGGCTCGTTGGCATTCGACTGCCAGCACGGCCCCATCGAATGCGAAGCGAACACCATTCACGCCTGTGTCGTGGAAGCCGTACACGATGCCAAAATCCGCCTGAACATGGTCGCCTGTATGATCCTTGACAATATGATCCCGAAGGATGCATTCTACCGGTGTGCCAAGGAGAACGGCGTAGAAATCGAGTCTATCCAAAAATGCTACGACAGTCCGCACGGGGCTGAATTGCTCAAACTGCACGGTGAAGCGACGCATGCACTGCGACCACCGGTCAGCTTCATTCCGACCGTCACCCTGGACGGTCAACAGGGACGGCAAGCTTCCATGCTGAAGGATCTCTTCGGCGAAGTATGCAAGATTGCCTCCGGACGGGGACCGAAACCGGTGGAATGCGAATGATAGCAAATGGTACTGTATTCGATAAATCGGTTCCTCCGAACCGAGGTGTACGATGAGGTCCGTCAAATTCCGGGGCGTATCCAACGCTCGATCCTACTGCTATTGCAGTAAGTTGAAAAAATTCCCTCTGATTTGAATCCTATTTATGTGCAGCAGTCAGTCAGTACTACACACAACGATGATGCCCTCCACAGAGACTTGTTTAGAACATCGATTTACTAATAAGTTTGAATGAAATTATGTGTTTGTTCAACCAAAATGTTTCCCACGTTTTCCATAAAATAGAAAAAATTAACAAAAGTACATTACCACGCACGCAAATAGAACAAGTTTCGCACTGAATAGAAGTATAATAGGTATTCCTTGTAGATTCCAATTTTGAATGTTACTCACTCAGACCAGTCTAGTATAGGATAATTCATGTCTAATCATACCAATTAAACGACTAAATAAATCGATTGTTTGTCCAATTGGTCTCATTCTGATGCAATGTAGCAGAATAGTGTCCACCGGTAGCGAAACCGTATAGCAATAGAGAATATCCTAAAATGTACTGATAACTAACCTGGTAGCTGGAATCTATCTACAGGTACATGGAAAAATGTAATATAAGTGACTAGTTATAAATAAACATAGAATGTACCCAACAAACCGCAACTTTTTTTTTTGCGAATGACCGGATATTTCGGACCTATTGACAACTCCCTTTTATATTACCATTAGTTTATTGGCTTTGTACGACTATCAGCACGCCTGAATGTGGCTCGTTAGCATAGTTTTAATATTATAAGATTGGAATCCATACACGGAACTTATATGTCAAATAGTTTGCAAAGCTTCCTACCTTCTAGTAACTTAACTCGTCTCCACTTCCATAGCCTGTTCTGCCTTGGTCAAACTGTCATCGTAGAACATATACTCATCCTGGTACTCCTTCATGATCTTACTCGAACGTTTCTCATCCAAGAACAGAGAATAAACCTTCCGAATGTCCTCGACGGTAATCTCCGCAGCCTTACGCCTTTTGCTGACCAAACTGGCCGTCGTGATCGATTGAATGGCATACCGTAGGCTGGTCTCCGTTGCGATACGTCCCAGAACCATCAATGCTTCGTTGTTAATCTGACAATCTTCTTCCTCACAACGAATCTTGAGAATTTCCTTGACTTCCTTCGCCGTGTAGGGAACCGTTCGGATGATGATCATTCGGTCTAGCAAATCGATTGGAATTCCATGAGGACTGCGGTAGTTTGTGCCGCGAATTTTGGTTATTCCTCGATTGGTGGCCATTATTACGACTGGGGCCATATCACTTTCCAGAGCCCTATTGAGGAATGAGAAGCACTCGATATCCAACATATGTGCCTCGTCAATGAACAACACTCCGGGGTTGATTTCAGCTTTGCCTTCCTCGCGCCACTCCATGACCTTGCTGTTGATCTGATCACGAACTTCTTGTTTGATTTCACCGGTATCTCCAGCGAAGAGAGCCAGGAAACCGTGGGTCCTGCTGTTGATGACATCGATTTCGTGAAGCGTTACAGTGTGAACCACTTCCTTTCGCTTTTGCAACTCTCCTTCTGGACATTGGACAAACCGAGTCTGCGCTCCGGTTGCATCATAATCTCTGGCCCTGGTGAAGCTCCTACCCAACTTGCTAACCTTGCCGGAAGCTTTGTCAATCGTGATTACATCCCCGGCCTGAATTTTCTCTCTCATGAAGCACTCGATAATCTTATTACCAAGATCGTAGTTCGTTTCCATGTCCGTAGTCTTGATAGTGACCTTTCCCACCTTCTTACCTGTTCCGGAAGCTGGACGATCGATCTGAATCTCGACGACTTCCCCCTCAATGATCTCCGTCTCTTCCTTTATACGAACGCCTATACTTTTACGCAAAGCTTGCGAAAGAGCTTCTGTTTTGTTCATCTCCAAGGAGTAAATTTCCGAACCGGACATGCTTGTAAACGGTGTTTCGTTTCCAAGGGCCTGAAATACTCCAATAATTGCGCTTATTATCAGCTTTGAAGAAGCTCACCATAAACTCACCTGCGCCATTCCCACGGCAATTGCCGTCTTTCCGGTACTGGGTTCCCCGGCTAGCAAAATGCAACGCCCGGCCATTTTACCATCGCGCACAATTTGCACCACAAGACCGGCGGCACGGCGAGCGTCTTTCTGGCCCACCATACCCTGCGACACGGCTCGAGCTTCCAGCACATCGTCCAGCCCCAGACCACGGATGTGCGAATGGGCACCGATCCGCTCGATGCGGGTAATATCTCGAACTTCTATTTTGTCCAGTTCGGCCATTGCGTCGAAGTTTCGCAAACAATCTGATGATAACCGCTGACTGTCCTGTGTAGGATTAAAAAAAAATCAAATTCAAACACCTGTGATGGATTGACGGTCGAAATCAAAACAACAAAGCGGAAACCAAGGAAACCGCTTTCCGTATCGAATGTTCTAGTTGCTGGAAGTTTTGCAGAAGATAGATTATTCAAAATTTAATAAGAATAAAACGTAAATAGAATTTTATATTACTTAGGTAAATATTTTCGAAAAATTATTATATTTTATATATTTTATTATTATTTTATTATCAATATTGAATTTGAGAAAAGCGTGAATCGAAACGTTGGAAACGCGTTTATAGCAAACTTTACGAATTTATGAATAAGCTATTGAACCAGCTTAAGCAATATATAAATTAATAATCAATACGTACAGTATTTTCTTGGAACAAATGATCAAGCTAATTTTTAGCCCTATTTATGGAGGAACTATTGAAAAATCGATCTTTTTGTCGGAAGCCAAGCAGCTCGCTGTGGTCACTACAAATTAAAGGTTATGTTTTGTTTTGTTTTTGCGCTTGCTTTTGCCGTAGATTTGACGGATTTGACGCAACAGTACACGCTATTTCAAAACTACCCAAAGCTGGGTAGAATACACCCCGATCGGTCAAAACTGAACCTACCCAAAAATGGGTAAACTATGTAGCGAATGACAAGTAACTGTTGACAAATAAACAAAGTCGATCGGATTCATATCGATGTTGTTCATTTGTCAACTTGTCACTCGCAACATAGTTCACCCATTTTTTGGTAGGTTTAGTTTTGACCGATCGGGGTGGATTCTACCCAATTATGGGTAATTTTGAAATAGCTTGGTAAAAAACACGGTAAAAGTAAATTACGTAAAAAGTGTAGACGGAAGCGAAATAATAGAGTCTATATACCTATAAAAATCCTCCTGTTTATCCCCCGATTTGCGTCGAGGAAAAAAAAAGTTGGTGATTATTGCGAGGATTATTGTCGGTTAAGTTGGACACCGTAATACCCGAGGGAATACCCCACACGCGACAGTTATTCTCGTTAATGACGATTCTGGAGGAATTTGCGTTTGGTTGTTTCGCCTATTTCAATTGATGGTCCAGAAATACACTGAACCAACAGGACATATATGCATGTCCTGTTATGTCTAATAAATTTGCACAATAAGAAAATCCAATGAAAACGATATGATTGAAAATGTGTCAGGTAAATTCTACATGAATATCGGATACATTTACAATGCTGATAAGTTAGTAACTTTTATATGATAAATGAAAATCGGTCAAATTATAAGAATTAACGGAAACGGCGCCGGTGGTGTAGTGGTAAGCGTGATTACCTCTCACCCCAACAGGCCTGGGTTCAATCCCAGTCGGCGCCGCCGAGATGTTCTGAGGCATACACAGAAAAAAAAAGATGTTGAATATTACATCCAAACTGCTGCAACCAGGTCAATCCATCGGTTGTGTAATACAACGTTGTACGATGTACATCGATTTTGCGAACAAAATTACATCCATTGATGTAATATTGTATCTGCTTTTTGCTATTACATCATTATTTCATACATCAGCTTGAAATACATTGATCGATATTACATTTTTTTTTTGCTGTGTAACATCTCTGATCACGCCTTCCTTCGGATGGGAAGTAAAGCCGTTGGTCCCCGGTTCATGAGTTTGATGGGTCGATAGGTAGGGTCCAGGTGTGGGAGCTGCCTTCCTGGCACGTCGGTAGCATTGGTGCTCAGCACGGAAAACAAGATCGACGGAAAAAACAAACCAAAGGAAAACAAAAAAAGAATTAACGGAAATGGATAGGAAACCCATAAGCACAAACTTTACTTTTCTCTAGAATTTCATATACATGTCATAAATCAATCTAATGTCGTTTTCGTTTTTGCGGTGTAGTACTGGTGTAGTATAAGCAGGAATAAGCGCGAGTCTTCGATAGCTCAACATCATTTGTTTGTAAACAAAGGTGCATCCTATATCTACACCTTAAAATTTTTCGGTGTACGGCAGTGTAGCACCGGTGTAGCTACATCGCAAAAACGAAAACGACATAATTAAAATGTATTTCAAAATCACATGAAATTTACTTCTTGTTTTAACACATATTTTATCGGTTCTAAAAATAAATCGAAAAATTAACATCAGGCAGTGGAAGGTGGTGTTTCGAGTGCTTTCACAGTAGTATTTTTTTTTTATTGTAGCTGATTTAGGATTTGATCCAGGACTGTTAATGTGTCATGCTGTCGGTATATTCACTCGGTTCCACAGGGCCATGGCTGACTTTGAGATTGAGATCGTTCAATTAGCATGAACGAGAGCATGAACTAAGATCAACTCTCCCGACATGGAATGTAGTACAGCAATAGAGGTAATCTTGGTACAGCGTTATGCTCGTTTTGCTAGAGTGAAGAAAAATAGTAATGTCAAATTTATGTTCCGTTTCGATGGTGCCGGGTGTTCAAATCTTTCTTAAGATTCCTGTTTCCAATAAAACAACCTCTACATTACATGCCTTCATGGAACTGGTTAGTGAAATTCCAATACTAGTGCTGGAATCTGGATAAGCCGTAAAGAAAGTTTCCAATTAGAATTTTAGCAAAGTAAATATTTCAGTAGAATATATTTTTTTAACCTTAATACATTGTTTTTCAGAACCCCTTATCTTATGGGGTCGCAGTGTTCGGAAAATCATTCTCAAATCTCATTCATTGAGCCTCTCTGCGAGAACAAAATTCACGTGTGAATGCGGCAAACAAAATTCACGCTTGAGATTCTCATGCATATTCACGCACTCACACTCACAACGCCGAAAAATCATTCCAGCTTTAAACTCATAAAAACCACTCAAACGTCAATTGATATCATGCCTATGCATGATGTGTAAGTTTTCCAACTGCTGATGCACAAACAATAGTAATAACAATGAATAACGCTAGAATATAAAGCAATGAATTTTTGAACCTGAAAACTCATCGGTGATTTTTGCGACGTTGAATTTCGCAAGGCAAAACTCATAGGCGCATAAACTCATGCATGAGATTTGAGTTCTTGAATTTTTCCGAACACTGTGGGACAGTAAAAGATAAAGATTATTGAATACACTATTATTATTGTTAGCAATATTTCTTTTAACTTTTACCATGTTCAATGAGTGTAACCCAACAAACAATCGTCTATTGAAGAAACGACTTCTTGGCCATTTTATTCATCTGCATGCTTAATAGTACTTGTACTATTTTTAATAACAACTTCTGTTCAGGCTTTGTTCACACAAATCTGGAGAATTTATTCAACCACAACATCGAAATATTTGGTGTTGAATAAGGTATGTCGAGAAGCTTTTATTAGACTTATATTGAGTTGTAACAGAGTTTATATGATAAAATTAATGATTATTCAGCGTTTATTAGACATCACTGCTTCTCCTTAAAAACAGTGATGCTCTGTATACGCTTGATTCTCATGTGAAGTAATGTTTAATTTGACATTATTATACATTTATAAAACGATTATTCAACTGTGGGAAAATTAACCCGAAAATAAGATGAACGGGGACAGGGAAGGGGGGTGTGGTTTGTTTTTCTTAAGTGTATTGTATTTCATTATTTCTGACGTGGCTCGCACCACCCAGATATTAGAAAATTTATTAAATACTTATACATGTCGTTGTATGGTATGGGATTCGAACCATGTTACCTTCCGATCACCAGCCGCTTGCCTAGTCATCTGAGCTATCCTAGAATTCATCATATGGGCAACTCAATAATCTATAAAAGCTTGCATGAAAGTAAATACCTATCAGCACTCCCGATCGCAACTCTAGCTCCTTGAAGGCCCTGTGGGAATGATTAATTCATTCATCGTTGTTTTGAATGAGAACAATGTTGCCTCTTCACATCTCCAAGTCGAAAGAAAGGATGCTCGGTTATATTTTAAACTAGATCAATGCATTCATTATCGTGAGTCATGTGATCGATCATTACTATTTAGATTAATTATTGTAAAAAAAAGGTTTGAGCTTGGGATTGAACTCATGACTTTCTAATTGGAAAGCGGAAACGGTAACCAATACTCTACTGATTTCGCCTTGTTGTAAGACTGAATCAGTGTTGTCGAATAATGAATCTAATACGTCGTTTATAAAGCATTTACAAATCATGTGATTACAACATGGACGCATAGTGGTATAAGAGCTATTATGCTGACTGTATTCACCTTTATTCAACAATATTGTAAAGTAATGCAATGCAATCTTATAAAGGAGCTGGAGAACATTTATTAGACGTCTAATAAAGCATGTAATTAAATCAATTGAAAACAGTCGAATTAAAGTGTCAATGTATGTACAAATTACACTTATTCAGTTTGTTATTAGATCGAACTTCTGGCGTTGAATTGGGAAGACATTTAACACTTTTACAGCTTTTAATAAGTAAATTAATCAGATCAGAGCAAACAGTGGAATAGATGTGCATCTATCGATCTCAATAAGCTTTTTCAGCACATAATTCGACAACTCTTTTTATTCAGCATTGTACACTGTTATACAACATTTATTCAATATATATGCTTATTTGTGACTTTGAATTGTTTGTTGGGAAGATAACATCGTTGAAAATTATTTCGATATTTTTTGCAGAACAATCACATAATATGTATTTTATTAGGAGCGCTATTCATCCCAAAAACCATGTTAAACTAAATAAATATTTGGTGTTGGTTTTCTTAAAAGGCAAATACATATATAAAAGTATTTAATGTTTACAGCCTTCAAACGTCAAAAAATGTTGGAAGCTATTGCAATGAGATATACATTCAATGTGTTTTTATGTTACTTCATATGCGAAGTTAGCGATTTTCAGAGTTGGTTGGAAATGCTAAAACGCTATCCAGACTGGATAGTTATAACATGTTATACCGGTTTTCAAATAATTGCAACACAGAAACCACCATCAAGATAGCGGTATAGCATGTTATATCTCTGTAGTATGAACGTACTATAACATGAAGCTTTAGTGTGATAATTTATTAGCTAGAGAATGATCTTTAGAAGAGGGTAGGTGGATAGTTCCGTAAGAGTACGGCAGTATAAAAATTGAATAGAAGTTGAAAATGAGCGAAGGGCCATTAATGTGACAGTAGAAAGTCAAACGCACATCTTTTGCCTAACCCGTACGATGTACGCGAAGACTTGAAGTATGTCTTCAAGTCTACAGACATACTTCAAGTCTCCGCGTACATCATTTTCAACTTCTATTCAATTTTCATACTGCCGTACTCTAACGGAACTATCCACCTACCCTCTTCTAAAGATCATTCTCTAGCTAATAAATTATCACACTAAAGCTTCATGTTAGCATTTCCAACCAACTCTGAGATATATTTATATTTCTATAGTGAAGCTAGACATATCAACAAACTTAAAAAATCTATAAAAGCCACTCCAATAAAATATTCATGATTTTCATAAATATAGTATTACTGTAAAATTGTAT